GGGGGGGGGGGGGAGCGGGCGTACCGCAGACTGCCACCGCGAGGAGGCATGCTGCTGTAAGAGCAGCTGCAAGGGTACGCAAGTTCATGCGCATGGTGATGGTGTGTATAAAGGCAACGGGGTGGAGCGGAGGGGTGGACGGTGGGGAGGGAGGAGAAAGGGGTGAGGGAGGGAGGGGGGGGGGGGGAAGATCGGAGAATATGGGTGTAGGTGGTGGTGATTGTGGCAGGTGGTGGACTGCCTGCGTGTTGTTGCATGGCTGCGTCATGGTGACGATCGGGCCAACCAGCACATCGTTGTCGCAGTACGGTACAGCAGACCGTGGCGCAAAAGTCGGGGCCTGGGCAGTTGCTCATCCTACGTGGCTACAGAACGAGGTTGCCCTCGCCGAGCTGGAGCTCAACGCCGTCGAGAACAAAGTCACAAGGTAAGGACGGCCCAACAAAAGAGAGTCGGCAAAGAGCCGTCGTCGACGGGACTGAGAGATGGCGTCCCATGCTCATCCAATGGGACAAGGGAGGCAGGCGCTCCTTGTCTCGCACAGCCGATCCGACCACCGGCGTAACCATGAGCGGGAAGGTGAGGGGAGCAGGGGGGGGGGGGGGACCCCGAGAAAAAATACAAATGCGAACCCACGCGGAGACCTCGTCCCCCTTTTCGCGGAGAAAAAACCAGCACAGCACGTGTCCATTGCAGCAACAGGGCAGCCAAGCAGACACGACTACGACAACAAAGCAAAGATGCCCGGCTGGTCCATTGACATGATTCTGCAGCTCTCGCCTGTGACAGCGACGTATGCGGCCGAGGACTATCCCGCTGTGGTCTCACTCATCGACGAGGTGCTTCTGTTGGAGGCCGAGGAGGAGGAGGACGAGGCACCTGACCTTCACGAGCAGATCGGCGGGCATCCTGGATGCCTTGTTCGAGGCATTCGCGGCACTTCGCTGCTTCGGATGGGCAAGTATCCGGAGGCCATAGCCCAGTTTGATGAGCTCGTCGCAAAGTGGAACGAGATGAAGGGGCCCGACGATGAGCACACGCTGCAAGCCCGTGGCGATGCGCTGCAGGCGAGGTCTGAGGGCGGCGACATCATGGCTGCCCACAACGGGTTCAAGGAGCTCGACTCGGCGTGGGACACCTGGGCCGATGATCACGCCGACGATGTGACTGAGGACAACCGGACGTTCTTTGAGTGGCGCATGCCGCTCGCAGAGAACATGCTCGCCCTCGGCGCCTGGTCCAACGTGCCGAAGCTGATGGAGAACATCCGCAACATGGCCGAGTACACTCCACTCACTCCCGACAACTCGCCGCAGCTCTTTCTTGTCATGGATCTGTACGAGGCCCGCGCCGCGGTCGCCGCCGGTGCCGACGGCGCCCTCGCCCGCCTCGACGCAGCCATGGCTGCTCTCGACGCGCTGGAGGAGATGCGCCAGTCGACGCGGAGCATGTACCTCCGCCTCGCCAAGATCGACAAGGCCACCGCCTTGATGGCTGCCGGCGACACCGCCGCTGCTGCCGAGCTGGCCGCTGCCGTCGTCGCCGACCGCGAGGCCCATGGCGTCGCCGGCGTCGCCGAGCACTTTGTTGCCCGCGCCATCGCCGCCGCGACCGGCGACTCGCCCGTCGACACCCTCACCGCTGTCATCGCCGATGCTGCTGCCGCCCTCCCTTCCCATCACCACTGCCTCCTCACCGCGCAGTATATGCTCGCCGACGCCACCGCCGCCGCTGGCGACGCGCAGGCCGCGCTGGCCCTCTTCCGCCAAGTCCGGGACGGCCGCCAGGCGGCCCTTGGCGAAGGCTCGCCGTACGTCTTCTTCGCCTCGCAGCGCGCCGCCGACATCATCGTCGCCCACGGCGACGCGTCTGGTGCCGAGGACCTCGACGACGCCCAGGACGCGCTCTCGCTCGCCCAAGCCATGCTCCGCGACAAGCTCGGTGACGACAGCCCGCACGTCGCTAGCATCGCCGCTTCGCTTGCTGCAGCCAAGACGGCAGGCAGCGGCAGCGAGTGAAGGAAAGCAGTAGCCAACAACAAACCTCACGTTGAACGTCCTGAATACGATCGGCCTCACTCCGCCCTGCGTTCCCGCCTCAGATGATGAGACGAGCTCGGGTGGCTGACCGACGCCACACCCACCACCGCCACGACCCGTTTTCGTGCACATGCAGGCCGCGTGTGATGGAGGCCCAGTACCGGTGCGGGCTGATCGAGCGTGTTGATGGCGGCGAAGGGGAGTGGCAGTGGCGGCGAGGAGGCGAATGAATTGGCGTTTGGCGCGGAGAGCCGGAGCCGTGCCGACAGCCGCAGCCACGACGTCGGCCAGTGGTGGAATACCCAGCTCCAGGCCCAGGCCCAGCCACGTGCCCTCTCTGGTGACGAACGGGAGGTCGGAGATGAGCGAGGTCGCCACGCCGCAGAAGCAGCCCATGTCTGCCCTCCCCCGCCGACCCCGGCAGCTGTCCTCACCACTGCCATGGTGACGACGGCGACGCCGACTCGTTCGCTGGCCACAGAGACAGACTCGCCAGTCCCGGACTTTTATCTCCAGCCGTCGCCGTATGCTGTTCGCTCACGCGGTCTCTCCGACTCGCCCATGTCAGCTTTGGGCCGCAGGGGAGATCCCAGTCTAGCTGCTCACCGCTCACCATCGCCAAGCCGATCGCCGCCGACTCGGTCGCCGTCCCTGGCCTCGCAGCGGCCATCGCCGTCACTCTCTCCGCCGCAAGCCTCGTCGCCAGGCGTCCCGCCGCCGCAGATGTACTCGAGCGCGTTTGTAGCCGAGCTGCAGGCGCGGTATGAGCGGCAGCTGGAGGACATGCGCGAGGCCGCGAGCCTGCTGGTGGCGGAGAAGGAAGCCGAGGTCGCGGCGGCGCGGCGCGAGGCGAGCAATGCCGCGGCTGCCCGCGATCCCGACGCAGTCGCTGCCGCGCATGACGAGGTGCTCGCGCAGGTTGAGGCGAGCAATGAGGCGCACATGGTCCGCGAGGCCGGACTCGCCGAGCTCGCGCAAGCACGGGCGGAGGCCAAGGCCGACGTCGCTCGGCTGAAGGAGGAGCATGCACGCAAGCTTGCCGAGACCCGCGAGTGGTATGTGCAGCAGGTCCGGGACGCCGAGTCGGCGCGCGAAAAGGCGATGCAGGCGCTCGCCGCCGAGCGCGCTGCCGCAGGCTCGGGCACGGCCGCGGCCGTGGAGACCGTCAAGGCCGAGGCCCACTCGGTCATTCTCGAACTCCGCAACACGCTCGCCGCCGAGTCACAGGCGCTGGTGGAGGCGCGCGCCGCGCTCGACTCGGCCAACGCCTCCCGCAAGGCCGAGCTCCGCGTCCTCCGTAGCAAGTTTGACGAGTGCCTCCGCGTCCTCCAGATGAAGGAGGCTCAGTTCGAGGCTGCGCTCGCCCGTGCGGCCGAAGAGGCGCATCTTCGGGTGTCTGAGCTGGAGGACAAGCTCGCCGCCCGCGAGCGCGATGCAGAGCGCGCCGACGAGCTCCACGCCGCGCAGATCGCGTCTTACGCCACCAAGCTCGAGCGCTCGCAGGCTGCATTTTCAGACATGGAGCGCAGGCATGCCTCGCAGCTTGCGGCCGCCACCACAGAGCTCGACCGCCTCCGCACCCACTATGAGTCGGTTGCCGCCGAAGGCTCGACTGCCGTCGAGCGCGCCCGCGAGGCCGACTTTACCATCCGCAAGCTCCGCGACGAGAACGAGCTTCTCCTTGCCGAACTTGAGCTCAACGCCGCTGACGTCGAGCGGCTGCGCCAGGAGAACGCCCGCCTCGCCACTGAGCTTGAACGCATGGACTCGATGGTGTACGGCTCGGGCAAGAGCTCGCGCCGCGCCCGCTCTGGCACCGCCAAGCGCAAGGCTGGTCGTCGGTAATGAACCGCCACGGCACGCAGTCAAAGGCGCGGCCGTGCGCGATACGATGCGCTTTGGCTTGAGGTGATCAACTGACAATACAACACGTGGGATGGCTTGGGATGGGGCGGTGGGGTGGTGGGGTGGAGAGGTGGAAGCATTTGATCACTCATTGCTGATCGCATAAATTCCCACAGTCTATGGATGGTGTTCCATAGGGAGTTTACTTGTGACCTGGGGATTTTTCAACTTGTGATCGCTACGATGGGCTCATGGATAGATGGCACATTGTCCCGCAACCGCTAATCCTCCATCGATATGCTTGTTGCGAGGCGGCGATGTGCCGTGGCCGACACTTGCGTGCGTGTGGCGACGAGGTAGCGGCGGCGCGTATTTTTTGTGACAGTTGTCCAGCAGGGGCCTCGGCCAGCTCAACTTTTCCCAAGAAGCAGAGTGTGAGAGGACGGCCACATCGTCTCCCTTCTCGGTGCTCTTTCGAGTCGGGCACGATGGAGCACGAGCTGGTGCGGTAGACGGTGATGCCTGATCGCCCACAGCGGTGGACGCCACAGTGGGTGTTGCAGCGGTACTACTAAATTTCTTACTATCACCCACTGCTCCCCGTTTTACACGCCCAGGCGTGTACGTACCCCTTGCTCCGACGAGAGCCTGCGAGCGACAAGCCGCAATGACGACGCCGTCTGCCGCAGCGGCCACCACCGCACTCTACCCTACACTCCTAGTACGCCCTCGTCCACCTCCTGTTCATTTCACCACCCCCCACCCTCACCATTACATTCTCCTCCCCCTTCCCACGCTAACCCCATGCACCCCACGCACCCCCGCTATTAAGCCTTGCCCGCACGTGCGAGTTGGCCATGGCTAGCCCCTCGTGCCGGTTGCCGCCACCACCACCAACTCACATGTGCGACTTGGTCACTCCCCGCAACCCCCTCCCCCCGCAACCCCCGCCCCTCGCACACACATTGCCTCCCCCCCCCCCCCCCCCCCTTGCCTGTGGCACAGAGTGGCCATTCCGCAGGTAGTGGGTACGGACCATACGGTGGTGTAGCAGTGGGAGAACGTGAGCAACCGTGGTTGGCACTCGAGGCGCAGCATCCGTTCAGCACACCCACAACAACAACCACAACCACAACCACATCAACATCATCATCGTCATCATCACTGACAACAGCGTCGTTGTTGACTTCAAGCTCGACAAAGGCAGCAGCAGCGGCGGCGACATCAGCAGCATTGACAAGAAACATGCTTGATCTCTCGGCGCAGAATGGATGGGCCATTGGCTTTGCTCATCTTGACTCGACCTCGCTCGAGCCCATGTCGATGACTGGCGGCTTTGGCTCGAACTCGGGCACGGCTGGCGGAAACGGAGCTGGCAACCATAACCAGGGCCATCTCTCGGCAGATGACATGATGGACGGTTTCACGCTGGTGGACATTGTCAATCAGGCGCCGGTTGCGTTTGACTTTCGCACCCGGTCGATCCGGCTCTCGCCGCCGCCAGCCGAGGCCGGCTCGAGAGTCATCGACGACGAGCCGTTTGAGCTCATCGACTTTGTGCCCAAGCTCGAGCAGGGCATCGAGGGCCTGACCATGCTCTCGGCAGGCTCGCACCACGAGGGGCAGGCAGCGGCGACACCGACGTCAGGGGTGCCTGTCGGGCTTGCCGGCATGAGCGCGGCTCCCGCTCTGCAGGCGGCGCCGATGCACGTCGCAGCGGCGGCGCCAATCGTGCCCTTGGAGCTTGGCGTCGCGGGCGGGAGCTCGCGCAAGCGCAAGCGCAAGCGATCGTCGAGCAAGCCGACAACACCACAGAGCGTTGACGCGACCCGGGCACGCGTGCGCGCTGCTGCGTCGCAGGTTCCGGGCGTCACTTTTGTGCCCGACGAGATGCCGGAGCTTGACGTTGCGCTCGCATCGTCCACCTCGCTCGCCAACGTCCGCATCTGCACAAGCGACCTCTCCAAGAAGGACGCCGACAAGTTGCGCAAAAAGAAGCATAACGACGTCGAAAAGCAGCGCCGCGTCCGTGAACGCATCGTCATGTCCAAGCTCACTGACCTTGTCAGACCGTTCCTAGGCCTCAACCCCACCGCCAAGCCCATCAAGCTTGACGTCCTTGAAGGCGCCGCAGACTTTATCGAGCAACTACTTTGCGAGCTACCACCGGCCAAGCGGGCACATCTCCTTCAGTAAGCCACAGCAGCCACAGCAACAGCAGCAGGTTTATGACGTGGAGCAGTACACTTGCCGATGTGCGCGCTGCCCGCCATGCATCCCCACCAACCGTCCTTACGACCCCGTTCATGCGCGGTCCCCCTTGCAAGTTAAAAAATAGGAAAAATGACCCAGTCCAGGCACCCACCCAGCCAGCCACCTGATCAGCATGTGCGTGCTACCGCCACGCAACAGCGTGACCTACCCCCTCCCCTTCCTCCTCCCCTGCGACGACGGCGACGGGCACCAGTCACACCCCTCGCAGCTCACGCTTATCAACAAGAACAGCCGTGGGAGCATGAACATGGGTACCTCCACTGTACTTGTGACACTGAGCATGGTCCTCGTCATGGCTAGCCTCGCCTCGGGACATATCTGTGCTCTGCACCCGGTCCAGCGTGGCGGTGCCAACGTGAGCATTCCTGGGGATCCGAGCTGCTACAAGCGGACAGCTCCGTGTGGTGCGACGAGTCATGGCCCACCTTCGGCTACGTATGCACCGGGTTCTATTGTCGAGGTCAACTTCCAGCAGGCGCTCAATCATTGGTACTACGAGAAGCCCGGCCATCTGGATGTGGCCATCGCCAGCGGCAACTCGCCGTCAGACTCGGCCTTTACCGTCATCGGCACCCTGCCTGACTTTCCTGCTCATGATCAGGTGTGGCAGACCAACTTTACCATGTCGGTCACCATTCCGGCGAGTATGTCTCCAGGCGCTGCGGTGATGCGGTTCCGGTATGTGGCGAACAACCCGGACGAGGCTGTCAAGGGCAATCCGGACGCCATCTTCTACAACTGCGCCGATGTGCTCATCTCAGCTGCTGCGGGCAAGACCCAGGCCCCGGCTGCTGACGCCCGTCTGGCGGAGCTCCTTGCCGACGGTCAGCCTCTGGCGAGCACCGCGACGCCTACTGGATGCGAGGCGCCGAAGCAATTTGAGGGCGTCTCGATCCAGGCCGAGGGCACCGGCGCCATTCTCCGCCGCGCCTACGCCTATGACGCGGTCAACCAGCGGGTCTTTGTCGATCGCCGCGGCACCATTGCCTCGGACAGCAACATTGTGCGTGAGGCAACGTGGACCGACTACCACGCCATGAAGCAGTGGGTCCTCTTTGAGTACGCCGACTCGACCCCGTCGGTCTGCGAGCTCTACGGACCCGATGCCTTTTACGCGTGGACATACGGCGACAAGCCCGAGTCGGCCGGGCAGACGTTTGAGGAGCAGGTTCCGGTCGGCGCCTCGCTCGCCAACGTCTGGTCCAACGGGGTCTTCTGGTGGGCCTCCGAGGCCGAGTCCTGCCTTCCGGTGTGGAAGTACCACCTCAATGGCGCGATGGAGCTCTTCACCAACACTTCGATCGGCATTGCCGACCCCTCGGTCTTTGACATCCCGTCCATCTGCAACGGTCTCGTTCAGATGAAGCGGTGCTCGTGAGGCCCCGGGTTTCTTCACCCACCTCCCCCTCTCCTACGCCGGTACAAACCCCCGATTTTCCCGCCTTCCCAGCCAGCCACACACCATCACCCCCCCCCCCCCCCCCCGTCCACCCACTTCATGGACATGGCAAGCATGTCAACCAGCAATCTGATGAGTGGAGTGCACCTGGCGGGACTGTCGAACCAGGGCGCCACGTGTTACCTCAATGCCCTCCTCCAAATCCTGTACCATACCCCACCGCTGCGGAATGGGGTGCTCAGCCTCTCGCTCGAAGACATGGGTCACACCTCGAGTGAGTACCTGGAATGGCTACTCTCGAACGATGCAGAGGTGTGGCAGGCAAAGTATGGATCGCTGACGGAGGAAGAGGTCAAGGCTGAGAAGAATGGTGTCGGCGGCAAGGAGATCAAGTCTGGCGAGGACGCTCTTGATCTGGCCGCCGCTATCGCCGACTCTGAGCCTGTCATGGCAGAGGTGCTGGCCATGGGCCTCGGGCTAGATCCCGAGCTGGTGGTGTACTGTGTGGCAAAGCATGTACAGAATGCTGCCATTGCTTCGGCTTGCGAAGAGTCGTACGACTTGTTTGCCCTCGGCGGCGCGGATGACTCGAGCGATGACGGCTCCGACGGGCTCGATGCTGCCGAGCTGACTGCACAGTCGCTGCTGGACATGTGTCTGGATACCGAGTACGCCGAAGAGTACGCCGAGGATGTGGCGGATGGGCGCTGGGTCGATCCGCGGACGGTGGCGCCGGTGTTTGTGGCCGGAAGTGGGAGCGCCGAGCCCGAGAAAGCCAAGTTCGTGCCGCCACCTCCGGCACCAGACCGTATCCGGACCATCCCGTTTGCGCTCCAGCGGCTCTTTGCCGCGCTCTCGCTCCACACCGCAGTGTCGGGCGGGCATGGCGCAGTGACGACCCACTTTCTCACCGCGGCCTTTGGCTTCTCAGGGCGCGATGCCGGGGTCCAGCACGACATTGCCGAGCTGACGCGGCTGCTACTGGATGTACTCCAGCGGCAGCTGGTAGGCAGCGCCATCGAGGGCCTTGTGCCTGGGCTCTATCGCGGCGTGGCAAGTCGGCGCATCTCATGCCTGACCTGCGGCGGATCGCGGTCGACGGAGCAGCCGTTCCTCGACCTCTCGCTTCCGACCGCGGGGGCAGCATCGCTCGACGCCGCCCTGCTTCAGTGGGGCATGCCCGAGCTGATGGACGGGGCCAATGCTGTGAGCTGCGAGGCGTGCGACTCGCGCCAGCCGTCGACCATCCGCAACGTCCTCACTCTGCTTCCGCCCGTCCTCACCATCACCCTCAACCGCTACGCCTGGACCGAGTCTGGCCGCGTCAAGCTCAACGATCCGTTTGCCTTTCCGCTCACGCTTGATATGGCGGCTCTGCTGGACGGCGAGAGCCTTGCGCCCGACGACTCGCTGCGAGCTGCAGCCGCCGAGCTTGCGGCGACTGGGAGCAGGTCAGAGACGAGCAGCACTCGAGCAAGCGCCGGCGCGGGCGGTGATGACGGCGATGACTTTGCCTTTTCGTCGTTTGGCCTCTTCTCCGACCCGGCGCCTGTGGCGAGCCCTGAGCCTGACACTGCCGGCGAGCTCTTTGTCTCGCGGCTTGGCGACGCTGCTCGTGGCGGCTCGCCTGCCGAGTACGAGCTGTTTGGCGTGGTCCTCCACGCCGGCGGCGCCCACGGCGGCCACTACCACGCGCTCATCCGTGACGCCGAGTCTGGACAGTGGTTTGACTTTAACGACGCGTCGGTCAAGCCCATGCCGCTGGGACAGCTGGTGCGGTCGTACGGGGTCTCGGGCTCGTCGCGCGAGTCGGCGTACATGCTGTTCTACGCCGCGAGGCTTCCGGACGGGAGCCTAGCGATTGACGTACCGATCATCGACCCGGCGCCTGCACCTACCGCCATTGAGGCACATCTCTCGTTCTGGCGGAAGCACCTACGAGCTGCGGCAAGCGCGGCTGCGGCGCGCGAGGCCGCGGAGCGTGCGGCTCGTGGCGAGCGTGCGGCTGCCGCCGTAGCCGCCCGAAGCTCGCGCGAGGCCACTGCAGCGGCACTGCCGATGCGGCCGGCGATGCGTGTCGTTGAGCGGACGCCACATACGCTCTGCTTTCTGGTCTACGACGCCGAGTCGGGCGCCATGCTGCCCCCTGTTGTCGCTGACGCGCACAGCCTCGTCGGCTCGCTGGTACAGGACGGCGGCTGGGCGTTTGTGGGCGCGCTTGTACCGTCGCTGGCCGGCGGCATTGTTGCAGCTGCCACTGATGCAGTCATCGACACGACTTTGTGCGTGGGCGAGTGGCGGCTGGCTGCGCTCGCCGAGTTTGGTCTGCACGCAAGCATCGGGTGCGCGCTGGCGCATGTGGGTGCGCTTGTTGTGGCTCCAACCGTCACCGACGGCACACCGTGCTTTGCCGCTGTACCGCAGCTGGCAGCGCGGCGGACGGAGGTGACTGTCTTTGCGGCCGGCAACGGGTTCCGGCTGGCGATGCCGTGCATGCTCTCGATGCACACGCTCAAGTCGCTGATTGTGGGCTGGCTCAACGACGAGCTCGAGCTCGGACTCTCGCCGCATGCGGTCGGCATTTACGCTTGCAGCACAACTGCAGCACCAGGCTACTCGGTGGCATGGGCGCTAGAGAGCGGGTCGGATCCGCTGGGCGTGGCGCCAGCGCTCGAGGCTCGCGGCGGCGCAGTTGAGCTCGTCCTGCCGCTGCTGGCTGACGGCGTGTTTGTGGCCGAGCTCGATGACGTCGACGAGCCGCTGGAGATCCGGGTGGTGGCGCGAAGCGCGGCAAGCCGTGCCAGCGTGTCGCGCACCGAGCTGGAGGGGGCGATGACGCTGACGCTCTCGTCGATGACGCCGCTGCAGGAGGCGATGTCAAGAGTGGCGGGCGCAGGCGCAACAGACCTGCCCTCGTTTGTGCTCCGACCGACCGACGCGGGCCTGGTTCCGAGGCCAGACCGCGAAGTGTTCGTGTCGCGAACGCGGGCACTCTCGATGTACCACATCCGGCCTCACACTGTGCTTGTGGCGGAGCCAGGTCGTATTGTGGCGCTCGGCCAGATCACGGTCAATGTGGTGCAGTACGCGGGCTATCCCAGCAGCGAGGGCGGGATTCTCGCGTTTTTCTCACCGGCATACTACACCGAGAGCATGGACGCGCGCGCCAAGGACCTGTTCTCGCCGGCTGCCTCGGTCTCGATCGGAGCCACGGCGACGGTTGACGCGCTTTATGATGCTGTGGCGAGCGCACTCTCGGTCGGACCCAACGAGATCCGGCTGTGGGCAACCGGGGCGCGGCTCAAGGGCGGCTCGACCGGAAACCTCAAGACGGTCGGCATCCGCGACGGCAGCGTTGTGGTGGCACAGGTCGGCGTCGCGCAGACGGCTGGGTCCGACGTCATCCTCCCTCTCTACGAGCGGAGCGGAACCGACACGGTGCACTTTACCTTTGCCCGTGAGCTTGTTGTTGCCCGTGACGCGGCCAGCGGCGCCATACTCGCATCCGTCGTCGAGAGCGTCATCGACAGTGCTGCATCTGGCTGCCGCCTCGCCAAGTACGACCAGTATGCCAACACATGGGCTACGATCCGCAAAGCCGACGTGTCCGAGTGCGAGCCTGTCTTTGCTAACGACGGCGATGTTGTCGTCTACGACGGGCCGAGCCTCGGCGCCGGCATCGGGGACGACGCAGAGCCAACGGTCCCGCTCCCGCAGCGGGTCCTCCGCTCGAAGAGCGGCTACGTGTTCCACGACATGCTCGCGCTGCCGACCTATCGTGAAGAAGCCGTCTTGCGCATTGATGCTGGCGGCTGGTGAATGAACACTGTTGAGTACTTGGAACCGCTTGTTTGCCGCATCAGGCTTTTGGCGCGACTTTGTTCCAGCACCGCCTCACGGGGGCATGCCCTCGCCAAGGCCGTAGCGCACGATTTACGCACGGAAATCATCCCAAAGTAAGGAAGGCTATGTAGTACTAGTTGGGGACACGTTTTGCTTGACAAGGAGTCTTGTATGACTCTTGAGTCTCTTCTACGGGGAGGGGGGGGAGGTGCGTGTGCGAGGGTGGATGGGAAAAATGAGTGTTCGTCCATCGAAGGTTCCGGGCTGTGAAGGCTCACCAAGGCCGTTGATGGGCTAGAAGGCCGATGTGAGCAAAGCGATGAAGACGGGCTTACGAAACATGTTAGAGATACTCCGCGGTAGGATTGGATGGTGTGTATCTGGTGTGCATGATGGCGTGGGGCGTTGCAGACGGCGCGTGGGTCTACGGGCGCGGGGATGGCTGTGGGATGGTAACCGTCGCTTTTTCTTCGCCAATTTTTTGGGGGCTGGCCGCCATAAAACTCGGCTCGTTTTTGCGGTTGCGAGTCGAAGTCTTGTTTTCCGTACCCCTCTCGAAAACTATCATCATGAAGATTGTCGCTTTCCTGGCCATCCTTGCCATCACTTTCGCCATCGCTTCGGCGCACTTCTCCATCTCTTCGGTCTCGACCACCGCGACCGGCACTGAGACTGTCGGCGTACGTTCCACTTTATGTGTTCCTCTTGCACTCCCTCGAGTCTCTAGTTGTCTTTGAGCTTCTCCGTCCCCCCCCCCCCAGAACGTTGCATCGTCTCGGGTCGGTCGTTTTTCTGGATGGCGAGATTTTTTGGGGTCGGTCGCCTTGGGCTGCTCTGACCGCCTCTGTCGCCGTTCCTCCCCCCCCCCCTCCTATCGATTACCTTTCCCCTTCATCCACCCTCTTAGCCAACACCTGCAGTCCGTGCTCTTTGTGGACGCACAACTGTATTGGCTGCATTGCAGCTTGGCTTTGTCTTGCTCCCCTTGCGGCTCAGCAAATCAGGGTGTCGGGCCAACGGCTGACAAACGTTGCAACCATTTTCGCGCCAGCTTTTTTTCCCATCCCCCCTTCTCGCCTTCCACTCACCATGCACACCTCCATCCTCCTCTTGCAACCTACAGCTCCGTGGCGGCGGCGACATCGGCTCCGGCGGCAACACCGACTTCTGCGGTGTTGGCGCTGCTGCCAACGTCTCGACCACCCGCTTCTCCATCGGCGCCGGTGCCACTGCTTACGTCAAGGGTACTGTCGCTAACTCGCACGGTAACGCCACCTTCACTGCTCAGGCTGCCCAGGGTGCTTCCCCGACCTTCAACGCCCAGTCCGATGTTATCTACACCGGCACCATGACCTACACCTCCGGCCAGGCTTTCTCGGCTGACGTCGTGATCCCGACCTCCATCTCTGGTGACGCCACCGTCCAGATCAAGATGGCCACCAGCCTTCCCCCGCAGACCAGCTACTACCAGTGCGTTGACGCCACCGTCACCGCCGCTGTCTCGACTGGCTCGTCCTCGGCTGCCGCCACCGCTGCCCCGACTGCCATGATCGCCGCTGTTGTCGCGATTGTTGCTTTCGTTGCCGCCCTCCTCTAAGTGGATCTGCAACTGCTAAGGTTTTTCCCTTGCACAGGAACGCTCGTTTGCTCTTGTGCGAATGAAATAATCCGCGGTCCTGAAAGAACAAAGACCAGTTCATTTTCCGACCTCCGCCACCCCCCCCCCCCCCCCTCCCCACCCCCTTCCCCCTCTCTCTCCTCTTGCCATTTCTGCTCATCTCTTCCCCTACCCTTCCATGCCGTGCTGTGGCCACAGATATCCAGCCGCCTCTCTCTCCCACCACCAGACCATTCAAATTCATCAGCGGTGACATGGTGGTGGCATGGTGGCATGGTGGCACGTTGCCGGCAACCGAGTCGCCGTTTCGGCCCCAGCCGCCAACCGCCACCGACCGCCACCGACCGCCACCAACCCCTTCCTCTCACCACCCCCCACCCCACCTCACCCCACCTCACCCCACCCCATCCCCCCCCCCCCCCCGG